TTTGTGAAATATATCCGTTTCCTTGTATTTCATAAGAAATGCGCTTGTGCATGATCTGCTCAGAATGTTGTATAACACTTCACACCATTGTATAAAAACAACATTAAATACCAAACAATAACTTACATTTTCAACTTTACTGCAACGGAATACAACACACAACAGCGTTCATAATTTTGTAAATACAGCTAATCCGTAAAATGAATCCATTTGCGCAAACCGCCATAATATTACAAACTTACATTTGCGTTTAATAATAGATGAATTTAGAAGGGAATTATTTGAGAATTATTTTTCTAACTGCACTGTTATTGTGGTTTTCACAGTGCTTTTATGTAGAGGCGTTAGTTTTGACACAAAATAGTTTTTTCTGCATGTTTTGTAGTGTTTTGCGCAAATCTCGAGGGTGTGCCATTATCAGATAGTTTTCGCGTGTGTCGGGTATTAGGATTAATTTTTTTTGTACTGTTGTTATCGTCAAGATGAAATAAGCGAATCACAAGGGACTATCTTTATCTCGAAACGCTGTATCGTTTTTTTAATCTATGTAACTTACTTATAGATTGTGGCCAAATTCTCTGGATATGATGTTTATAGTAAACTACCAAGTTGATCATACTTCAAGTCGGAAATTTCTAAAAACTTACAGAACTTTCTGATTAACAACCTCCAATAATGCCGTGATGACCCGAAGATTTAAGACGCCCACTTTTCATGCATGAGGATGCAGGTTGGAAACCTACCAATGTGACATTTTCCGAGTTATATATACTTCCTAAGATTATATAGACACTACTAACAAACTGCGAAAGAAAACATCGGGAGGAAAACTGGGCTTATAATTTCTATTAAAAGTTTGAAATCGCCAGCCCGCATTGAGCAAACGTGGTGATTAATGCTCAAACCTTCTCCTTGTGAGAAGAGGCTTTGCTGTTGCTCAGCAGCAATTATAGGCTGTTGCTGTATGTAAACTCCAATAAAACAAAACGCTGCTTACAATAAAATGTCAACTCAACTAGGAACCTGTAGTTACAATAAGTTAATGTATCTATTGTCTCCACCGCATTGTAAGAAATCTTTAGTCAACAGACCATTCTGTAATCTGTGATCAAAACAAATTGACACTTACTGACACAGACAACTAATTTCGCGACACGAAAGCTCAACAAACACGAAATCGCTCTCAAATAATCGTTCAGCAATTAAAACTGCTTATTTCCTTAATTCAGAGCAATCGGACGTTTAAAGAGCCTTCGCTAATCATCCAAACAAATTTCAATCTTATGTAACAGTCCTAAAACACGTTTTAGCTATATCTGACGTGATGATTTTCCTATCAAAATTTGTTAATAGAAAACCAGCTTTATCCAAGTACGTTAAGGTTAAATGTTGAAAAGCAAACGATGATGAGGCGAGGTAAATGGGAAATTGTGCGCTAACTCGCCGCCGTCGGAATAAAACAACTCTTTGCGCTAATAATGAGAAAGAATGTACAGAGTAGTGAAGAGAACAGATACTGCAGTAAGTACGCCATGTACTAGTTGCAATGGATTATAAAAAGAAAAACATACATTTCTCACGATAAAAAACAAGTGGCATGTACAGATTAAGTATAGTGTTAGTTTATTTAGCTTTTCTGTCTTCGGTCCACAGTACCTCTGAATTGGTCAGGAAAATTCTTTCTTCGTCACTGACCAGTTTTGAGGTGCCGTGTTTGACTGATGCAGTGGAAGCGTGGAAAATGGCTTGCCCACTTACGGATTTACCTGTTCACCCATCTTCTCAGAGACAGTGGGACGTGCCGCTGTGCAGTGTTATTCGTGAGTCTTTAATCAACTCGTCTCCTAATACTGCAGAGCGAGCTCGCTTATTGGCTGTGGGAGAATGGGAATCAGGATTGTGGCTTCAGGCACTCCCGTCACCCTTCATAGGTACTATGTTGGATGACATAACGTTCCGCCTAGCTGTATGCCTACGTTTAGGTGCTCCTTGTGTTTCTCCGCATTATTGTCACTGTGGAGAAAGAGTCGATGGCTTGGGACACCATGGTCTTTCTTGTTGCAGAAGTGCAGGCCGCATAGCTCGCCATGCCAGCATCAACGACATCATTCGTCGTGCTCTTGCCTCAGCCGGTGTACCAGCCGTATTAGAACCTAATGGTTTGGTACGTGATGACGGCAAAAGACCAGATGGTATGTCGTTGCTGCCTTGGAAGATGGGTAGGCCTTTGGTGTGGGACGCGACTTGTGTAGACACCCTTGCGCCATCACATCTTTTAAGCACCGCTGCATGCGTTGGTGCGGCTGCTTCCGCGGCAGAGGCCCTCAAACGGCGTAAATATTCAAATCTAGTGGGTAACTACTGTTTTGAGCCGTTTGGGGTCGAAACACTTGGGCCATGGGGTCCCAGTGCACACTCTGTGTTTAAAGACATCGCCCGTAGGCTAATCGACTCTACACGTGACCAGAGGGCTGGCTTTTTCTTCGGACAGAAAATAAGCATAGACATTCAACGTGGCAATGCTCCCAGTCTTCTGGGAACTTTCCCCTGTGATAGTGATGCGGACGAATACTTTGACGCCTAAATTAAGGGTATAATTTTTTGTTGTTTTCTTTTACTTTCTTTTTATTTAATAGTTTAGTTGTAGTTAATTTTAAGTTGTAAATATTTATGTAGTTATATAGTTTATTGGTAGGTAAAGATAGATAGATATATGTTATGATCTAGTAGAGCTAGTCCATATTTTACCTAATAATGCTAAAAAACTTATATAAGTCAACAAATCTTTGAAATAAGTAGGTACTAAAAAAAGGTAAAATACAATAAAAAAATTGATTATTACTTTTATAACAGGTATTGGAGTAAAAAATTTTTTGGTTCTTGAATCAGTCAAAATTTTAGGTAGGTATGTACTTCTGTTGTGGTCAATTTTGGTTACCTCCAAATGATATTATCAACCTTCCTATGTTAGGAGTACAGACATAAGTAGACTTCCTCTAAGCCTGAATGTCAAATAGACAGTTATCCAAATATTTGCTCCGAGATCGATTGAGCACTGAGCGCCATGTATGTCAGTGCAGACATGTAAACAAATTTGTAATCAAAACCATAACTATTCAACCATTTCCTGTACCTAGGCCGATAAATTAATGGTATCGTTTTGAATATACCTAAAATATTGGTCGATAAACATGAATTTCTGTACAAATACAAAATTTTATTAACTCCTTTAATCCTCGATGGTTGACACTTATCCCATTTAATAAATGGTGAGTGAGATTATTGCGATCCACCGAGTATTATTCCAGACTCAGTTCTATTGCTGAGATTTTCTTAGAAAAATCTAAATTGCTTTCAGCTAACTCAGGCAGAACCGGACTTCGAACCCAAAGATCAGTACGGCCCTTATTCGACTAACGACTTAGGGCCGATGTATCAATCATCAGTTAATTCTTTTATTTTCTGTTTGACAGTTTTTAGAATGGAAGAATTGTCAAATATTCAAAGTTATTATTTAGTTGATATTTGGAAAAATGGTCTTTTGTCATGTGCAAAACAGCTATCTAATTTTTAATCTACACCAGGGCTGTCCAAACAAAGGCCCGGGGGCCGCATGCGGCCCGCGTTTTGGTTTCATGTGGCCCGCGACACATTTGAATCTCAACATCTTCATCTAATATGTAACAATAATAATAAAATCCAGTGTATGATTTGTCTACAAGTATTGTCTGTGCTTAAAAAATATAATGTTAAACGTCATTATACAACTGAAAATATTTTTCTGGCCCCCCAGTTTTTGTAAGAAATTTAATTAGCCCGCGAGGGTATGTAGTTTGGACAGCCCTGATCTACACTATTAATGAAATTTCTATCTACCAAAGCTACTCTGTGTAACAGATCGTTCAGAATCAAACGTCGAACATTAACCATTAGGGACGTGCTCCCGGCGCAAGAATTGCTTTCTTGCTTGATAACTTCATTCGTGTGTGTGTGTGTGTGTGTGTGTGTACACTGTTTACACGACCGGCTGCCTATCATTCGGGTTTCATTACAACATGTAATTCGTTCATTGTAAATCATATGTCACTTTTCACCTTTCACCTTCACAAGAGGTCGTGCAAAAGATCATTGATTGGACGACAATGTCAAAGTAGAGGGAAATAGATGGATGAACGATGCACCAAATCGAAAAGTATTTCAGAAAAAGGAGTAGGAGTGTGCAATAGTAGGCAAACGAGCAGACGCATCACCTGATGATAAGCGATCAGCCCGCCCATGGACACCGGCAACACTAAAGAAGTAACAAGTGCGTTTCCGATCTTTTAAAAAACGAATACGCTCTTTTCTTGAAAGATTGAAGGTCGTATCGGTTCGGAAATACCGCCTACGACATTCCTTAGTTTTGCTTTGCGAGGCAGAAAGCCACGAGATAAAGGGACAATTGTGGCCTGTCAACCATCTATATGATGAGGATGTACATGCTGTCGTGGAGTCGGTGCAAACAATTTCTCGATGATGATAAACCACGGCCACATGAAGAGCTGTTTGAATATACGGGCGTAAATGATAGATGCATGAATGTGGTGAAATCTAGAGAAGTGTGTAAAGATCATACCTACTTCCACATAGTAGATGGTCATGTAGCTTCTGGCTTATTCACAACCTCAACGGACGCGAGTCACTGTTTCTGATAATTGATTTATTGACATATGAACGATGCAGGTAAGGATGTATGTCCAAAAGTAATTGGGAAATATTTCGTTAGTGACTGCCTTGGTTCCCGCAACGAAGTGACAGAAGATATTATAAGAGGAGAAGAAAAAAAAAGTGATCGGCTGTGTGAACTTTGGTTCACATATGGTGGTTGAAAATTATCGGTACCTACTGCACCCACAATACTGGAAACAACATTCATCTCTTTCCCATTCTTTCTCAACGTTATGAGGAAAACTTTTAAAAAGTTTCAAATTTATTGATTGAAAAATATAAAAAAATATTTGATAATATTTTATTACTTAAATCAGAAATGTTACGAACTGTAATCAGTATAACAATTAATTAAATATTAATTACAAAATTCTTCGGCCTGCCATCTAGCGTCGAGTAGAAGAAACTCAATATAAATTTAATTAAAACAAAAACAAACAACTTGATCCCATGAAAAAATCTGCGATTTCAATTAAATTTGAAATTTAATATGTAATGGTTTATTTGATAATGTTCAACAAAATAAAAAAAAAACATGTAGCGAAAGCATCTAGACTCGCCATCTAGCGAATAATAAATAAAACTGTAAAACAATTTATGAAAATAACATTCAAGTACAAAATAAATTATAACTACAAGACATAATAATGGAAAACTAAACGAACATGATACTACAATAACGGATATTAAATATACTTATTTAATAATTAATCTAACTATTCAAATATTCACACAAGTTATAAATTAATAGATAGGTAATTTCATAAAATCATTACCTTCACTAGAAAAATAACAGATTTTTCATTATAACACTTAATATAAATTTAATCCTATCATTAGTTTGGACTCATTAAAATTTGGTTCAAAAATTTGGCAAAGGAGACCAAAATGCACTTAAAGTTAAATGTAGAACAACGCCATCTATCCTTCAGTGGCAACCCTTTTTGGTTTCTGTAGGGTGCGTTGTTGCTCTTCCCGGATTATTTCTACGAGATTGCTTACTGCTTTGTCCATGTCCTCGTGGCGGATTTTACTAAACGTTAGCCGCAGATACGGACAGGGGGCGTTACTGTCGTATAAGAACGCTTGTCCTGGTACCAACATTAGACCACGTTGGAATGCAGTGTGGAATACCTGAAAATTTTCATGTTGTTAAATTACTAAAAAAGACATAAGATACCTAAATATTTAAATCGGTGTTAACAGCATAAAGTATCGGACACACTGAAGATAGTTTTTTTTGGGAGTGAGGTATATCTATATTATGTGTCTGAAGTCTGTGGTACTACCAGTAGGTAACCTATTTCACATTAGGTAATTGCCGCCTATAAAAAAATAACATACTGAGTTGTCATTACACCTGAGACCGCTTGCACAACAAAGCACAATTATCAAAAAACTTCTTGTGTATTGACACCAACGCTTATGTATGGTAGTGAATCATGGGAGTGGCAGAAGAAGCAAGAAAAAAGAAATAATGCGGTGGAAATGAGAGCCCTAAGAAGTATGTGTGGACTAAAATTGAGTGATCGAGTGAAAAATAGTGTTATTAGAGAAAGGTGTGGATTGAAAGATGATGTAGTGACAAGGATTGAAAAGGAAATGTTACGCTGGTTTGGACATGTAGAAAGGATGGATGAGTAACGAAAGAAGTATACAGAGCGGATATGAATGGGGCCGTCGGTAGAGGGCGCCCTAGACGGACATATAGTGACCAGATTGGCGATATATTAAAGAAGGGCCAAATTAAAAGTACCCTTAACCGACGAGCATGCATGAAAAGATTGATGACTGTTAATGAAACGAAAGAGGTATGTAAGAATCGTAGGCAGAGGCCTACCCCCATGGGAGACAGGCGTGAAGTTATGTATGTATGTATGTCTAAAGATTATAAAATGTTTGATTCCATAAAATCTTACCATGTTATAAACATCGTCAACTCCATTGACTCGAAGCCAGAAGAACAGTCCTGCATCAGGCATGGAGTACGGGGCTAGATGTTCGACGGGCTTCAGTGCGGCGTGCAGCGCGTCGCGGCGCTCGCGGTAGAAGTCGCGAGCGTTCGTCAGGTGAGAGGCGAGGGACTTGCGGCACTGAACGAGTTGTAGTAGGATAGCCTAGAAAATTAAATCTATATTTTATTTTCTACTTCAAGTGAAATGAAATGCTTAAAATATGCTGTTTGTGCAGTAGTAATGCAGCTACTACGAAACGTGACGTTGTCGTTGATTGAATGGAATCGGGCAAATACACGGAAAAAATATTTGTGTGATATACAAATTATTGTTTTGGATCTCAATGCCATGAAATTGTGTTTGAATGGCCATATAGGTACAGATAGGAGAACCGAAATTCTCCAGCAGTAAAATTCCTTTACCAGTCCCTTAAACCGGTAGAAGGAAATTATCTTAACCACTTCGAATGTGTATTATCACTGAAAATCTAAACTACTGACCTGCGCTAATGTGCAGGAGTGTAAGAGTTCAGCTTGCGTATGTAGTTCCAAGCGCTGCAGTAGTGGCTTGGGCGCGGTAATCCAGGCGCCGCGCAGCCCAGCGCTCACAACCTTCGACACGGAGTCCAGCCGCAGCACGCGACCACATGTGTCCATTGAAAGGAATGATGGGATTGGTCGCTGTGGAATTGAGAAATTATTAGGTAAACTCCACAGAGCCCAGCGCTTTAAACATTGTATTCTAAAGCATTAAAGTTTTTTTTTACTTTGGTTAAATAGAAAATACCTACATATGTACGTAGAATGGAAAGTTGAGTTAAATAAAAATTTAAGATCCTCACCAAATTAATTTGGCTCAGACAAGTTTAATACTCACATCAGTATAATTCAAGAACATGTAAGGATCATCTTCTACAATGAGGAAGTCGTATCTGCACGCTAGTTCATAAATCTGTCGTCGCCTCTCTTCTGGCAGCACTGTGCCAGTAGGGTTACTACCAGTCGGGATTATATACATCATCTTAGGCATCTTCAACCCTCGTCGTAACCGCTCCCCTAAAACTGCGTCTAAAGTCTCTGGAATCATCCCATCTTCATCTTCTGGAATGCCTATGATTTCTGGCTGGTAGGGTTTTAGCTGCAAGGAACCAATAATTGATATTCATGATGATTAGGGTACTATCGGTTTTCGGTCAAGGGAATATTGAATAGTTGCTTTCATAGTCTCAAAACTGCAAGGTCTATAAGTTTCAAAACCTTTACAAATAATTAGATTTTTCGATATAATTGTCAACATCACCAGAAGACCAGAAATTCTTTTCATTCAAAGTTAAAGTCAAGAAACTGAATTTATAAAAACAAAACAATACATTTTATCGTTTCTCTTATCGATCTCCACTGATCTTTAAAAGATAGTCATAAAGTAATCAATTAACACTCACAGTGCTATGTATCCCGGTGTAAGCGTACTCGCATGTGATGACAGGGTCTCCGGGTTCCACCAACAGCTCCACGCACTGGTAGATACCATGCTGTCCTCCATTGGTGACCAGCACGTCGCGCGGTACTTCAGGGGCACGATGCGTTTCAGACTGGAACTTCCGCAGCTCTGATAGCAAGGCTGGGAGACTGGAAGAGGAGACGAATATTTTAAGGTAAAATTTAGATAAACGTGTGAAACTTATGAAGATTGACTGGAAAATTGGATTGCGTACAGACTAACACCTGCAACTTCTGTCTCGTATGATTTCTTTTCTATGGCATAAGCCAGTAAACGAGCAGATGGATCACCTGATAGTAAGTAATCGACGTCGTTCATGGACGCCTGAACCACTAAAGGGGGTACAAGTGCGATTCAGACATTGTGGAGATTAGAGGAGGGGGTAATTGTGTGTTTAGAATTTAGGTATTGATGAAATTTTTTTGCAAGTTAGTGCAGTGTATCCATCAAGAATCACTCCTGGTGTTGCGGATATTCATGGCCGATTGTTGTTAGAAATGCTGCTTAATTTGAAGTTTCGTGTCGAGGTGACATTTATATGAGGAGTCATAATGATGAATGAGACATAAGAGAGAGAGAGAGATACTCTCTCGCGACTACTCTCTTCCATAATAATAATTATATTATATTTTTTTAATTAAATGTACTTACCCCTGTGACGGCACATATTGCAGCGCTGCAGCGAGGTCTTTACCTTCTAACACCAAACTTGAGAACTTAGTATCCATGGAGAGTCGTGTGAACGGGAATACTTGCTCGTTGGGCATGCCTTCCGCGAGGGAGATCATCTCTTTGCCTACCTTGTAGGCGAGGGATGCTGGAAATAAATACAACCATTTATCAATATTCTTGTCAAATACATAAAAATCCGGTATAACTTTATGCCAATACCTGTTTAAGTTCTGATTTTTTTTCCTACCTAGTTTTCAGATCATGGATGGGTTGCTGAATGGTGCTCGTAAACCCGAATAATATCTACTAATAATAGATATGAATTCAGAGACAGAAGGGACTCAGCTTAAACTAATTCATTCAAATTATCTTCAATCATCGACCACAAGCTTCGTTTATACAACGCATTAATTTATACAACGAAGATTTCTACAGAAACAATTACAAAAGAAAGAATTCAAATAAGTAAGAGCTCAAAGTAGTATTTAACTAAAATGTTTGCTTTGATGATTTCATAATTCTTGTTATCAGTCAAACGTAAGAGCAGAGACTTAAAGAGCTTATGTAGCCACACATACTGACACGCCCTTCAAATTGCAGCTCTAAATAATCTTTCATATTACAAAAACGCAATTCTTTTGCGTCACTCAAGATAAAGTTAACATAATATTTGAAAGAGTTGTTTGTTCGTTTAGGTTACACTAGTCATCCATCAAAGTTATAAAATGTTTGCGCTTCAAACTATTTACGGCGCATGCTCTATTATGCACATACGTTTTAATGGATTACCATAACTTGTCACGTTGGTTTGTTTTCCTCAAACGGTCAGGTAAAGGTGAATAATATATCTATGTACCTATTATAACACACCCACTTTTGACTTGAAGCTTAAGCAAAGAATGCTTGATTGTCAGGATCTATAACGGTCTAGGTACTGTGCCAATGTTAATAGAAGCTGAGAGTCATGTAGCGAATATTAATGATACCTACATTTTGTTCGTTCCGATTCGAATGGAAATGTTTGATAATATATTGATTTTACTCGTAAACCTAGTTTAATCGTTGTCCTCCCTTTAAACGAAATACAGATGGTAACCATTTACGCTTTTATAAAATTTTTCCGTCACCTTGTAACGATAAATGCGTAAACCACATTTTTACCTGCCTGATAAAACGATGTTATAAATTGAAACTTTTTAATTGTAACATTTTATCGAAACAACGGATGCTACTATCGGTGGATGAAACGATTAACGTATGGATTGACGTTTGACATCTAAACGAGTATGTCGAAGAAATTACGTAATTAAAATAAAAAACTTCGGTATTGTAGGCAAAACAAAATCCCTTAATTTGAACCTTAGTTTCGGCAAAAAGGAGGTATAAGAATACTTATAACAAAGTACTTAAATCAAGTCTGCAGACGCAATGCAATAATACCAATTTGCAATGATATCAAGTCGATTAAAGCAGATAAAGCGCATATAAGGCCTTTTTGATTTTAATTAATGATGCAAATATTAAGGTAAGTGAACTTAATCATTATATATCATGTTAGATTAGATAATATTGCTTTACAGATAACGACACGACGTATAATTTACCAGGTACGATAAAGTATAAAGAGAAGCCGCAGTTTGACTACCATAAACGGACCGATTCACTCGTGACATTGAATCATGCGCCTAGGAATAAACTAAATATAAATATTATTGTTTACATAACCAATATATCTACGTAAGTAGCTATATAATGTACATGTAAACAAAGGTTGAATTGTACTTTATTGACCCCCATGTACCCGTGGATGGATTTTTTATGGAATAAGCAGACAAACGAGCATACGGATCACCTTATGGCAAGCAATTGGCGCCGCCCATGGACTACCAAAACACCAGGCGAACAACAAGTGCATTACCGGCCTTTTGGGGATTAGGAATTTGAGGATTTTTGGGGATTAAGGGAATGGGGAGATTAAGGAGGGAGGTAATTGGGCCTCCAGTAACCTCATTCATACGACGAAACGCAACGCAAGTGGTGTTTGACGTCTGTTTTCTGTGAAGCCGTGGTATTACTCAGGTCGAGCCGGCACATTGCCAAAGCATGGCTCTCCCAGACTCAAATTCTATTAAGATTACAAGTTTGCGATATCTTTTATTTGTTAGAAATTCACGTTGGTACACCAACATCGAGAATATTACAAGAAACGTCTATATTTGGTTGAATGAACTGATTAATATATCCGTATACGGACATATATTGTGCTAAATGGTAACAATTCAACAACCCGAATCGTAAGTAAATAAATATTCAAAACAATCAGACAACAATGATTCCAGAATGTACTAAAGGTTAGCGACCATTTTCAAGGCTCATGAATATTCATAGCAAACGATTCAGTATGTAAAATAAGTTTCGTGAAAAATGTTGCAGTACCTTAACTACTTACATAGTTGATAATTATTTTTTGTTTTGAAAACTAACTTAATTATTATATTTCCGGCTGTTTGACGAGGAACTCAAAACTCTAAAGCCATGCTAGAGAGCCGAAAACATAATAATTAATGGAGTGTCTTACGAGAGTTTTAATGTAAACATTAATTCTAATGACTGATGTTCCCCGTAGGCCGTAGGGTTTTTTTTTTAAGGGGGGAAAATCATCGAATGACTGCTCCCGCCTGGGTGAGGCGGAAGGGAGTGTCAGACTCTTACTGACTAAAAACCACCCCGTTCCTTCTCCTGCACGTCGAGCCGGAGCCCCGGTTACCCGTTAGGTTCTCAGGCCGTAGGGTAACCAACGATTTCGTTCGCCAGTCACTTTACGAGTCTCGTGTAATTGCGGGCGACCTTGTAACCATATACTGACCATTAACCTCTTGTGTATCGATATATGAGACACAATAGATAACACAATGTGTCTCGCCTCTCGCGTAGATCTACGTTCCGAAACTTCACAGGTAAAAGACCATTTTTTTTTTTGAGGGGAATTATTATCCAATGGTTCTCTAGCCCGGGTGAGGCGAGAGTATCAGACTCTTACTGACTAAAACCACGCCGTTCCTACTCCTACACTTCGAGCCGGAACCCCGGAAACCCCTTAAGTCCTCCGCGAATCCGTATCGGCATCAGCCTTATTGGGCCCTATTTATGGTGGTCTGATGGCTCTTTGGGGCGTGCGCGGAGGGCGACGCGTCGCTCTAAACACCATACTACTACTAAAGTACCATACTAAAGACCATACTACCACCAAGATTATCGTTATAAATACTGGACCAAACTCTAAAACCTATAGATAAAATTTTAGTGCTCAACCATGCCACCATGTCTACGACATTAGACTCTATTACAATCACGTTACAATACTCATTCAACTGAAGAAAAACAACTGAATAACTTAACACACCTACTTATGGGTGTGTTACCAATTGTTTTTCGGTAATTAAGCAATTACATTATTTAGTAATCCTTTGAGGAAAACAGGCGCAGTATATATTTTTTTTTATTTGATATGCGTTTAAGTATTTGTGATTAATTTGATTTGGGTGTGTAATGGCCGTTTATCTATGACGTGGCACCTTATCAATATAGAGTTCTAGGTTAGTTTTATAAATGCGTTCATTTCACGGCTTTGCTCGCATGAAATACATTTTTTTATTTTTACTGAACAGCAATTTTATTATGATGACATTTTCTTGACAGTTTTTACCTGCTATGCAAAATGGTTTGAATATTTTAAAGCAAATATTTTTCTAATATACATAGAATTAGGTCCCATGTATGAAATTTTACACATTACTGACTGGTTAGGCCAGTCTAAAAAAAACTACTAGCTAATTTCCGTCCAAAAGCTGTAGAAAACTGACCATGTTTTTCCAATAAAAAATCAGTATAAGTACTTATTAATACATCCACCAATTGTTGATAAAAGATATCACATTTTATTCACGTTTCAATCGAAGTAATAAATAAATCAAATCAATCGTGATTGATTTTAAATAGACGATAATGATAATGACTGCATTAACGAATTTCCCCTCAATATCTTTGATAACATGTGTTATAAACACCTGATTATTGATAAGCAATGAATCAGCACTATGTACCTCCATACAACAGTACATATGACTTTAATGGCTTAATTAGGTAAACATGTTATCTAGTCTCAACGTATTTATATTACTTACGTGGTATTTGTACCTATTATTTACGTGTATTTAGGTATAATTCCGCATTTGTGGTACAACTTACATAGGGTCATGTTAAAACCTTCTTGAGACATATCTACTAAATGAAAGGAAACATTAAATTGTATTTATTGCTTCCATAAAATAGACATCAATCAGATAAAAATATAATAGTAACAATTATTACTACATATAAATATTTACAGCTTGAAATTAACTACAACTAAACTAGTGAATAAAAAAAAACAGTAAAAACTATACCCTGAATTAGGCGTTAAAGTACTCGCCCGCGTCACTATTACCGGGGAACGTTCCCAGAAAAGTGGCAACATTGCCACATTGAATGGTAATGCTTATTTTCTGTTTTAAGAAAAAGCCAGCCCTCACGTTTAGAGTCGATTAGCCTACGGGCGATATCTTTATAGACAGATTGTGCACTGGGACCCCATGGCCGAGGTCGAGTTCTTCGTCATACAGAAACCATGTTGGGTATGATATGAAGTACCTACTACTGGGTTTTAAAACAAAATCTCAGTAGTAGTACGGACTCTGGAATTAGGCCCGGTATATAGCGATAGGTTCAGCCCCAAATAGTGAAAAGCGGTTGTTATACTGTACAGTGGCATTAAGTGCCGTAATGCCTACTCCTTCGGGGTTAAAAGCCGTGATGTGGTTTCATAATTGTCGATTTTGATATGTTTCGTTTGTTTGATTTTGACAAATCTACAATTAAGAAGACAATGTTAAACAATTTTGTAACTACTGCACCTAAGAGCAGACTAAAGCCTATGTATGATAGTATTTTCAATTTTGAAGCGTTGTTGTTCAGCCGCCGAATTAAATTTTAAGCCATGTAAACAGTAAAACTGCGTTTGATGACATATTTTTACGATTAGGCAATAAGTATTTAAAAGTAAATAAATCGTAGATAATGAAGATGTCTCCATACATGCATACGACGATAGCTGTGATGATAAGCCGTCCGCCGTCGACGACTGACTTATCTACTAAATAAACTACGTATGTTGAAATTAATCATTACAATCCTTGTCATTGTGAAAACTACTTTAATTCTTCGTTAACTTAAGAGTTCAATTTCTATTTTTTTAAACTTTGTATTTTTCTGTACTCAAACTCAAACTCAAAAACATTTATTTCAATTAAACCATAATTTGACACTTTTGAAACGTCAACAAATATGAAATAAATAATAGTCTGTCAGTCTGTCCGTCAGTGAAGCTAAATGTCGATTCGAGTGGAGAAGAACGAGCAAGAAACTCCATTCGTTACTCTTTTAAAAAAAAATCTAGTATAATTTTTTGCAGTCTTCTTACAGAACCTATGTCGTGAACCACTCAATTCAATTCGAGATCATTTTAAGCATTCTTTCGGTTACGGTTATTCAAACTTTAAAAAAATTCGTTAACATTAACTAACATTGTGGTAATTTAACATTTTAAGCTAACAATTTCTTGTTACGTCTCCATAATCTTCTACACTTTGAAACAAGTCGCTGAAATTATTAACGATTTTTTAATTTAAATACTTACCTGTTTTCTAACGAAATCCGAATCTAAAAATTATTTACTTACTGATTTGTCTCGTCAGCGCAGGCTCCCTACGCGCCGCCCTCGTACTCAAGTACCGATCATAGTCCTGTTCCGTGAGTGGTTTATACCGGTCCTCCTGATAACTGTTCTCATTATAGAACTTAAAGAATTCATTCACGTCAACATCTCTCTGCGAGAAATCTTTCTTCAGAATCAACGTCACAGCGCGGGCCTCGAACAATCTCTTCGCCAGTTCCCTGTTCACTTTCCTCAGTTTTGTAGTAACGAACATTTTACGTTTAAAATATTTCTAGAAAAATAATTTTCGTAGCGGCTTTTTTCGAGTTACTTTTCCCGCCACCGTCTATGTTCGTACTGCAAGCCGTTGCCGACGAAATCAGTGTACCTCAATTAAAATGCTTAGATTACGTCAAATTTGATGATAGCGTGATTATGCGATAAGGTGATAATGAACAACGAAATTGTTTAATTAGTCGGCACTGTTTGCTAAACACACGAAAAACACGCGAACGCTGTTAAATTCTCACTAAATACTAAATGAAATATTTTGGTGGAAATGTCGAATATGCTACCTAAGTGCAAGTGAATGTTTGACCCCACCGAGCAAACTGAATAAATGACTGTATAATAATTATAAAAAATAATTTAACGACAAAAATAATTATTTTATAGACATGATGAATATGGAGAGACATTAAATGTGTTCATATTTTTTAAAGGTTATCCAAATTCACGTCGTTTAAAAAAATATTTCAAAAGATGATACGTGTCTTTGAACGCATAAAACCATTTAAATGATCTGCGAATACAAGAGTTGTTATCAAATGATAAGTTCCATACAAAATTATTCATTAAAACCTTAATAGGCACCTAATTCACAATTTTGTGGGCATTAAGTTATATCATTATAATAATATGAGCTTATGGCACCGACTTCTAACCTATCAGTGGGTGGGTAACCTATCAGTAGGTACTAATAATAGTTATTTTTTGCTTTTTAGTTTTGACTTTTTGTTTGTTATTAGTTTTTGGTTTTTTGAAGTCGGTTTTTTAAACGCAGTTTTTATTTTCTTATTTTATCATTTTTAGTGTAAAGCTACATAATTATACCCGTTTTGTTACTTATAATCTACATAGGTGCAAAGTTCTAATCAATGCAAATTATACAAGCCCGAACACAAGGTAGTTACTGTATACCGTTGAGGAGTTCCCTTAACAATTACACTTCTTCATCATCAGACCCTTAATGACAGCACCACTCTATATAGGTGTAAAGTCCTCATCAATACAAATTAATCAAGCCCAAACACAAGGTAGTTACTGTATACCGTTAAGGAGTTCCTTTAACAATTACACTTCTTCATCATCAGATCCTTAATGACAGCCCTACTCTATTTAGGTGTAAAGTCCTCATCAATCCAAATTAATCAAGCCCAAACTCAAGGTAGTTAATATAAACCGCTGAGGAGTTCCCTCGACTGCCTGTCGGCTCCATCATCAGGTCAACTCCAGACCCTTACCAAATTGTAGTGTTTTAAAATCCTAATTGAAAAACATAATAGACGCATTACTCGCCCATAGAATTTTCGAAAGTTCCCCTCGGTTTCCCTAGGATCCCATCATCAGATCCTGACCTCATGGAAATGGTACCATCTCGGGAGTATACTCTTTCAAACAAAACAAGAATTTTGGAAATCGGTTCACAAACGGCGGAGTACTGCGCGAACAAACAAAAAAAAAAAACAATCAGCCGAACATAGTACCTCCTCCTTTTTTTGAAGTCGGTAAAAATATGTTACATCACGGTGGCTGGCAGATTTTAACAAGAATCTTTTTGCACATCTGAAAAATTATAACACTTTTATCACCGGTTGAAAATTGTCGAAGGCAAAAAGGTCTATGAAAAACATTCAATGTTTGCGCTGTGTTCTCCTTCCATACTTCATTCCATCCTTTTATTATTGCAGCACTCACTTTGTCTCGTAACTTACCCACACAACGCAAAAACGGTAGAAGATTCCAACAGTCGTATTCCGCTGTAGCAATGGATTAAATTAAATAATTACTTACAATCTCATAACCTATGACTTCTACTCCTCCTTGGTGTGGACTTCTCACTTCCAGTCGGTGTACCAGTTATGCTCGTACTCGGGAATAGCCTGCAAACAAATCACGCTTACTTCGTCATTTCTACACGATGCTTTATTTAAGACTTTAGTGTAATTTTTCAGAAAATTTGGACCATTAAACTGTCAAACACCAAGCGGTCACCGGTGACCGCAACCTATTGTTCTATAATTGTGTCTACAAAACAGGGTCCTCGACGAGTTAAGGGCTGTTTAAAGGCATGATAATACAATTTTTACGCACTTCATAACTCGTCTGTACTCGTCCAGCATCTCATCGACCGGCTCCACGAGGCTCGGGTCGTATGTCTTCAACGCCAAGTACGGCGCTCCTGCAGACACTGCATTGGTCATCTGTGGATATTACAGAGAGCACAGAAAGTGATTCATTTTCATAGTCTTGGACTGAGTTGAAAGCTTGTTCTAGTCGAGTTTTCGCTCACCACTTGCTTGTTTGCTTCCATTTCTGCCAATTTCTTATTCAGATCATTCTTAAGTCCTTGCATAAGAACGAAGTCTTTCTCCAAAATACCTTGTAAACCTGTTTTAAGAACAAGAACTGTTTAGTGTCCATTTTGAAAAAATAAATACTGATTGCATTAACAAAAAATGTCATATAGGTAACATGAAAATAAATACAGAGAGACTCCTACCAGCATTCTCCAGTAATGTATCAAGATCAGTAAGAGGGAACTCAGCTGTAGAAGGCGACAGAAGTTGAGGAGTTGGAGCTAACGAGGGTCGCAAACGAGGAGTCGTAGATGATGCTGTAAAGTTAAGTAGAATAGAGTTAAAACTTGTTTTGTAATAAAAAAATAGCATTGTTCATAATAATGACAGAACTACTGTTTTTTATCAGTGCAAATTGCGTTTGATAACATACACACCTACAAAAATTGCGATGTTTGAGGAATATGAAAATTTATGAGATTGTATTAAAACAAATGTTTATGTAGTGTGTGCCTGAATGCGTCAAACATAACCAGTTCTTACTGATATATAGTAACTAATATTCATGATTTGATTGGAATGACAAACGAGAGAAAAAGTAAGATCATCAACTTCTAGCATATTAAAGTTCGGAAATCAGTTCTTAGCTGATGCTTATTACAACGAAAAATACCCACTGCTTGTAGCAGGATAGTCAGGCAAGTCCCAGACAGACGGTCGTCGTGCTCGAAGCGTGTCAGCGGGCGGCGGCACCACAGCACCCGCCACGTCAGTCAGTCGCACCGTGCACACGAAGTCACAGCACGACACTAGTATCTCGCAGCGGTTAAACCGTTTGTACTCACTGCCAACAGTAATCACTCAGAAATAAGGTCTATAATGGTGTAGACCTTATTTCTGTGGAGAGTGGTCACTGGTGACCGCTTGGATCTTGACCACAACGAATCCATAGTAGTCAGAAAAAAACTGCAGTAATGAATTAAAGTTTTAAATACCTAAGTATTGAAAGAAGTAAATGTAACGTAATTCTTACGTAAACAACTACAATGGCCTATAGTGATTGTAGGCATATAGAAATTCTATCGAAAATCTGGTGGATTCGGAGATTTTGGATAATTATTAATTTGTATCGTAAAACCTCAAACATACGGTTCATCTTTCAATCCTTTCTTATCCCACTCGTTGTCCATGTCAAGCTGCAGCATAAGGCCACCAGTAGACCCCTGGTATACGCTGGATGCTCGCCGGGACATTACTATTGGTTCTTCTAATATTAATTCATCCGTTTCTTCTTCCTTCTCTTTGCGAACAGGACCTAAGTAGGTATATTATTGTTAAAACATATAAAGGTGGGTTTAAACGGCGCGCAAACACGCGAGCCGAGCCTGGCTCCGCTCGTGGTTCGCCGCGCCACGCGCTGTGTAAACAACTGCGCTCGGCGCGGCTCGGCAAAGTTCGCACGATCCATCACTTGTCGAATTTTTCGCCACAGATCAAAGGCGCGCGCGCCTTATACAATGACACCATTCACCATCGTCTTTTTCGTCTTTCTTTTGTTTTCAAATATCGGCGGACAGCTCGGTTCAACAGCGTGATGTGTAGCGGCGTTGCCACGGACGGCTCGGCTGGCGTAGGATCGTGCTACCCCGCGTCGTTTAAACCAGCAGGCTTGCGTCCGTATTTAGCCGAGCCGCATCTCCACGGACGGCTCGGCTCGCGTAGGATCGGACTAGCCCGCGTTGTTTAATCGCGTCTTAACGCATCGGTTCATAAGTCGATGTATCGTGGTTGATGTTATGATGATGATGAACCGATTCCAAGAATGGAATCCATAACTATGTACTTTCGAATAATAGATCATAAACCCATTATTAAGGGATCTGAGATTTATAAAAAACTTAAATCTAAATATATTTAATACTAGCAGCCCGTCCCGGCTTCGCACGGGGTAGACAATTATTTACATTTGGATTGTTGTAGTGACATAACTACAATAGTTGGACATATGCTACAGTGGAGTTTTTTGTAGACATTGTGATGTTCTTCAATATTGTTGTACATTATTTTGTTCAATCGCTAATAGTTTCGGCAGCGCATTCGACGAAAGACATTTTAAGACTCATTTTTCTACACCTTCGGTTACATTGTTCAAATATTACCAAGAATCCCCAATTTTGACGTGACAACGTCTTAAATTAGGTTGCGGCTGGGAGTCACTTATGAAAAAGTGTAACGCTCGGTAACGTTACGATGAGTCACCGAACGAGAGAGAGGCCCGCCGAATGCCTTGCGTCTCTCTCCCACTCAACTATGATCGGTCTGCCGCGCGCGCAGCACTAGTTCATTCAATTCCTTGTTCCTATTGTGCAATTTAATTATATTCATATCAATAAATATTCTACCGAGAAAAAGACGTTGTCACGTAAAATCTTCGCCCGTAAAAACGACTTTACAGGCAACCATTTTTTTTTTCAAAATGAAATGTAGCCTATATCAAATTGGGAGAATGTAGCATTCTATTGGTGAAAGAATTTTATAAATTGGCCCAGTACTTTTTGAGCTTATTCGTTACAAACATACAATTATACAAACATACAAAAATAGGTACAAATCTTTCCTCTTTATTATATTAGTATAGATTGATTTTTATGTTCTGTTTCTCACCAGGATGTATACAGTACGGGCCAAACTCCACCTTCTTGCCGAGAACTCCTAGAAACGGAAACTTAATCTTGATTGTTTGCAGCAAACATTCCTCGTACAGATCCCAGATGTATAACGTCTGTGAAGTAAAAACAAACAGCGGGAAATGAAAAAAAAATACGATAAGCAAATAGATGGATCACCTGACGATGAACGATCAGCACTGCCTTTAGACAATAGAAATACTAGACACCAGTAAATACATTTATGTTTTGAAGTTGAACTTACACAGTTATTACAGAATGCGATGATGAGTTCATGTGCAGCGACTATGGCTAGATCTAGTATTGCAGGCGAGGTAGGAGCTGCAAGCGTAGCGAAAGGTGCGCGGCCACAGGGCTGCCACAGTCGCACTGAGCCATCACATCCGCCTGTCGCGACCAGGTGTAGCGCCGATACTATGTGGAAGCAAGTGACTCCCTGAAATATTTAGAAAGAAGCCTTGTAGAAGTTAGACTATATAAAATTCTCTCTATACCTCACTCGCAGTATTTACAACATATTATAGGTTGAGTGAGTGAAATAACGAACGACACTTAGGGGAAAACTCAACTTATATTGAATTAATTACATTCGGAGCACAATAAACGGAATAAGACAGAACTTGCATGAATATATAACAAAGATAACCGTTAGCGTTCCTGATTTAAATGTGAATTAGTCGGCGCGCGGCTCGACCGCGCGTTCGCTCGGTTTAATAGATTTCGCGTCACTGACTAGAGTTGCGGCGCGGGCGCGGACTCGTGCCGAGCGTCGAGCTAGAGATGGGGTGTGCAACGATACATTAGTCTTACTAATGCGCGCTATAGACTCCCCCTCCAAGTCACAAGAACGTCCCGGTCCTGACTTGGCTGGTCTATCGCGTCGGCGTGGATGAACGATAGCTGGGGCTACCCCCGAATAAGGCGTTAAGGCGCTGGCATGGTAAATACCATGCCAGCGCCTTAACGCCTTGCCAAGGGTATTTACCCTTGACCCTACCCTCATTATCGACAACCACGTATGTAGTGGTGCTCACAACTTGTGAAATACGATACAGGCCCTCCCGTCTCGGCGCGAACTTCTGGGTAAAACCCTTAGCGGCATTGCTCGCCGAGTGAGCCTCCACCAGGACGAGATCCCCATCCCGAAAAGGAGTAACGTCGCGGCGACGTCGATCAGCAGTACTCTTCCGAATCTCCTGTTGCTCTTCGACACGTAATTTTACATCGTGGAGTACACGAGCAAACTCCTTTAAATACGGAGTAAACTGAGGCACGAAGTTCTGCTGAGAAACTACGGCTCGTATATCAGTTTGAACAGCTAAAGGAGAACGCATTTCTCGGGCAAACGTGAGAAAGGCTGCGGTTTGACCCGTTCCTTGATTGTAGGCGCTGTTGAGTGCGAAACGTACCATCGACAGGGCAAATGGCCATCGGCGATGCTCAGAGCCAACAAGAATGGCAAGATGTTTCTTCAACTCCCAATTCTTCCGTTCAGCAGGATTGGCTTCCGGATGGTAAACAGGAACCAAGGATTGGTCCACTCCCAATACGAGCATAGCTTTCTGCATTACAGCAGAGACAAACTGAGTGCCATTATCTGATATGACACGACGAGGAAAACCATACCGCAAGAACACTTCCTCTATTAGAGCCTTTGCACAAGACTCCGCAGTGGCATCACGAAGCGCAAATAATTCCACCCATCGACTTGCGGTATCCTCGATTAGAAGTATCCACTTCTCACCCTTATCCCCTTCGGGTAAAGGTCCAAATAGGTCCATTGCTAGAACCTCAAAACGTTGATGTGGGACTGGAGTCTGCAGAAGACCTGCAGGCTTCAAGTTGGTAGGCTTGTACTTCTGACAGAAGTCACAAGCTTTAAGATATTTGGCGATAAACTGCCGCATATGAGGAAAATAAAATTTCTCCTTAACCTTCCTTAAGGTTCGCTCCAACCCCAAATGACCCGCAGTTGGTGCATCATGAAGCTCCTTCATGACCTCCATGCGCATCTCTTCTGGCACGACAAACTGCGGCTCTTCGGACTCTCCATCCGGGTCGAAGCGGAACAACACTCCGTTGGACAGGTAATAACCACGATCCGTCCAACGCATAGCAGTATCGCCATCTCCAAAGTCGTCTAATATCTTCTTGATTTCCGGATCTCCCAATTGAGCTGCCCTCAATTCCTCCGGATTGCGATGAGGTAAATCTATAGATACCGAACACAGATCGCACGCTGATTCCGCGCCGTCATCGTCTGTGGTTTGGGTTGCGGGAACAGGTCGACTAAGGGTGTCTGCCACCACATTGGCCCGTCCAGGTGTGTATTGCATGTTCAGGTTGTACGCCTGAATTCTCATGGCCCACCGTGCCAAACGACCACTGGGAGTCTTCAAAGACAGCAGCCATTTAAGAGGCTGATGATCAGTAGCAACACACACTTGGGCACCCTCAAGGTAGCCTCGAAATTTGTCAAGGGCCCACACCACGGCCAACGCTTCCCGCTCTGTTGTCGAATAATTCCGTTATGCGGGGTTTAACAACCGACTTGCGTATTCGATAGGCCTCTCAGACTTCGGATCTGGGCCTTGCATTAGCACTGCACCGAGTGCATAATTGCTAGCATCCGTTCGCAGCACAAACGGTTGCTCGAAGTCAGGTTGTCGCAGAATGGGACTAGCAGTGAGTTTCCTTTTAAGCTCATTATAGGCTCTGACTTCCTTTTCACCCCATTTCCAGGGTCTGTTCTTCTTAGTCAAATCGGTCAATGGCTGCGCTACTTCCGAGAAGTTCGGAATGAATTTCCGAAACCATGAACAAGTTTGCAAAAAACTTTTCGATTGTTTTAAATTCGTCGGTGGGGCCATATTCACCACCGCTCGAACCTTATCTGGGTCAGGTTCAATACCTTGGCTGCTGGTGATATGTCCTAAGTAGTTTACGCGCTCCCTGGCAAATACGCATTTATCTCGGTTCGCCCTCAAGTTGAATAACTTCAGGCGCTCGAACACCTGTTCTAAATCCATCAAGTGTTGATCCAGGTGCGGGGATATGATCAATATGTCGTCCAGGTACGCAAGAACACACACATCCTTTCAACCAGACCTCATTCGGTCAATCAACCGTTGGAACGTTGCCGGCGCGTTCTTCAACCCAAACGGCATACGGCGAAACTGAAACGTTCCATATGGTGTAATGAAAGCAGTTTTCGGTCGGTCCTCTGGAGCGACCATAGTTTGCCAATAACCTGCCTTCAAGTCAATAGTAAACATTACGCAGTTACGCTTCGTACTATGTAAGAGTTCGTCGATCACTGGCAGTGGATATTTATCCGTCCGCGTGACACTATTCAGTTTGCGGTAATCCACACAGAAACGGATTTCTCCGTTCTTCTTTGGTATTAATACCACTGGTGAGGCCCATTCAGACTCAGCTTCTTCGATGATATCATCCTCGAGCATCTTGTCAATCTCTTTCCTGATGATTTCCTTCTTCGAAGGTGTAACTCTGTAAGGTGGACTTGCGATTGGCGCGGCGTCACCAGTATCAATGCGATGAATCGCAAACGAAGTCGGTCCTCCCCTGGTGCGAAAATATCTTTATAGATATCCAAGATGTCGGACAGTCGCCCCCGTTCATCCGAATCGAGATAGGAACCCTCATCCTCGCGAAGACCCACAGATGAACAGACGACGGACTTAACTGGCGTATTTTCGAAACAAATTCGCTGAGGTGTCCTATCACCTCTCACGAACCAAACCCGACGGTCAAAGTCGAATACCATGCCAACGTCATGTATCCAGTTCATACCCAATAAACTCTCCGTTGCATTAGGCAGCATTATAAAACTAACGAGTAGCGTTACACCCCGTACAGTTACATTAACATCAGTTACTTCTACATTTTGTTTACAAATACGACCATCTGCATATTTTAATTCAGTAAATACATTCTGAAAAACATGACCTTTATTAGCTAAATGAGACCTTAATGATACACTTCCGATACAATGTTTAGCACCTGTGTCCACTAAAAATGTACCTACGGCACCTTCGATTTCTACATTAATCACTGGCCGCACTCGCGAATCGACTTTATCGTCACTCGCGGACACTGATTGATACTGACACGAAACGGAAGACACTACTGCCTTCTTTTCCTTACACGTGACACAGTTGGAGCGAATTACTCCAGGAGCACCACACCCGAAACACGTGATCGTACTTGGTAAACCAAAGTCTAAAGACTCGACTACCTCCTCCTTGGCAGTCGTCCTGTGTTTGACGAGTCGCGGACACGCTTCCTTTAGGTGTCCGTACTGTTTACAGTAATTACAGTGGGACCTAGTCTTGATATGACTAGGTGCAGTAACAGGTCGAGTAGTCGACATCACGGACGTAGACGGCTTACTCTCAGAAGTAAATCGTGGGCGACTCTCATCTAAAATCTCCTCCACGCGGCGGGCCTCAGTTAGAAGCTGCGCGAAATTCTCAAATGATGAACGAGCTACCTTTTCGCGGATACGGCTATGTAGTAGACCATAGGTCATATCTAATTGTACCGCCTCCGAGAGAGAACAAGGTGGCAGCTGCGCGAACAATGCTCTTAGGTGGCAAACAAATAAATCTGTAGTTTCGTCGCTACGTTGCTCTCGTTCAAAAACCTTTCTATAAAGTTTTGACGGCGGCAGCCTTGGTCCGAATGTTTGTTTTAAAGCGTCGATAGCCGCTGACCATGTGACGGTGCTGTCTTTTACAGTTTTACACCCTGCCACCAGGTGGCTGCAATTCCCGTCAAGAGCATTGATAAACCACGAAGTGCATTGCTGCAGTCATCCACTCGAACACATTCCTTGTAAGTTTCTATGGCGTCTATAAACGCCAAGACGTCGCTGGATCTCTCGCCATCGAAGCGAGCGGTGCACTTGGCAAAGTTGCCAGAATAAAATTGTGTTGGCGTACTTACAGACTCACGATGACTTAGCCTGTCAATAAGCAGCAGTAGCTGCTCGGTTGTTATGGCGACCGGAGCTGCGGCGGCGCCAGCAGCCGGCTGTGGGTACACCACAACCACTTCTGCAGCCGAAGTGTCATCGCCGCGCGGACATGACATGTCCGGCGCGGGCGCTTGGAGCAGCGCTTCCGCCTTAACGGAGGCGCCAGCGGTAGAATGGCTCGCATTACGCGATCTTGTTAGCACCATTGTAAAAAGTTCACTATTTATTCAGCACAACGTCTCAAAACTTAGTAAGGTTCCACTTAAGCACTAGATTGTTTACAACGACAGACGAACTGTGATAATTAAGTCCACACAGTCGCAAGAAAAGTCTAAAATCACTAAGTTAAACAGTCACCACGTTGACAAAACACGAACTTTAAACTGCTTAGAACTATGTACGTTGCGATAACAATCGTCCAAAACGATTTACGTGAAAAAACTATAGAGGTACAGTTCGCAAAAATCACTGTGATTTTCTTAGCCTAGGTTCCGGTAACTAAGTCCTGTGACAAAACCTCACCACAGTCACTTTTACAAGTCCGTACCTACACTGCAAATGTTCACACACGACAATCTAGGTTCAAGAATAATAATTCTCGATGGTACGAAACCTAGACGGTAGGTATACGAAAGTTCACGAATGACGGTAGGTTTTAATGCTACACACTTGAAACAATTCTAATATTATTTTATTTACTAAGCGGTACTTCGAAAATGTTCTCAAACACAGTTCTAGAAGTTTCTGGAATACGAAACCGAAAGTTAGTTGTTTACGTATTGAATTAAACACTAATAACTTTTATACGACGATTGTTCGAATAGTAGGTACTTATAACCAACTAATAGTTAATGTCTGAATAACCTAGATTCAGGTAATACACACCCGACACAAAATCTTTCACGGTTATTGTTCGAAAGTCGAAACACACACAAAATGTCTGCCGGCGTAGGTACATACACTATCTATATTCAGGTTTTAGGCACCCGGTACGAAATATAGACAAATAGGTGCACAGTACATCATACACTGGCTGTCTGTGACGAATCTATGTTCAGGTATTACACACCCGATGCAAAACATAGGATTCACTGAGTTTCTCGCGAAATAACGTAGGTACTCAGGTTTAGGTATTACGTACCCGATACAAAACCTAGATAATCACTACCTACGCGCGATTGACTAGTTACTACTTGAAATCACACGACACACGCGAATTCACATAATTGAAACGGTTTTAATGCAAGTTCGTACACGTTCTGCTCCACGTTGGGCTGCCAGTTATAGGTTGAGTGAGTGAAATAACAAACGACACTTAGGGGAAAACTCAACTTATATTGAATTAATTACATTCGGAGCACAATAAACGGAATAAGACAGAACTTGCATGAATATAACAAAGATAACCGTTAGCGTTCCTGATTTAAATGTGAATTAGTCGGCGCGCGGCTCGACCGCGCGTACGCTCGGTTTAATAGATTTCGCGTCACTGACTAGAGTTGCGGCGCGGGCGCGGACTCGTGCCGAGCGTCGAGCTAGAGATGGGGTGTGCAACGATACATTAGTCTTACTGATGCGCGCTATAATATATTATTAAAGAAACATTAAGAACAATAAATAATTGTGTAGGTAGTTCTTACCCTGATTACTTTGAAGACATAGTCGTCCATCTTCCCCGGCACATGTCGGATGCGTACACTGGCAGTAGCGTCATGAGAGCAGCTGACGAGGATGATACCGCCGCGACTGTACGCCACCCGCTTTACTGACCGCGAGTGGACTTTGCGCCATCGTACGATACTGCAGTATGAAGTGTGGGGGGGAGATGGTAACTCCTGGAATAGCAGTCACTTGTAAGTATAATGATACATTGACTTTGTTTTTGCTATTGTTGTGTTGTACTTGAAGTTATTGTTGGTATCTAATCGCCATATCCGATAAATAGGACGATACAAAATGTTCATCCATAATCCACTATCAAGCTCGACTTACCATCCAGAAGTAATAATTGATAGCATCGGGTGTCTTGGTGTGGAACAGTTGTAGCTTCGGCTGGAGGAACCGAATGAGTGTGATGTCACCACGCTCTGTACCGAAAGCCAGTTCCGAGGTGTCACATGAACGCGAGGATGGAGTGTACGCCATGCACTAGAAACAAGATTCATTAAGTATAGTCTAGTATCCGACAACGTTGTGCAAAAAAGGACTGTTTACAACTGAGGATTTATGTATTAAGGAGTGATAATTTTCTTTAAACATAATATGAAATGTTTGCATACCAGGTGGCAGAATGTACCAGGAACGATATATCTTTGTAAGATCTTATAATATGTAAATGAAAAATAGAGTAGGTATAACTTTAAGGTGATTACACAGTGATTATAAAATCTTAAGAATGATTGATCCGTCCATAAATGGACGGGTAAGGTAAATGTGTACGCACTGTAGGAATGTTTGGCAGTCCAGTAATACAGAAGAGGGGCGTGTGTGATAACGTTGCAGCGTCATACACCGTCAAGCTGCGGTCTGATGCAGACATCATGAGGTACTGAGCATCCTGGAACATGAAACATAGTTCACGAAATAGTTTTGAATAAGACTTTATACACTTTCACTTATTTTAATTACAAGCCAACCAACTTACCGGTAAGTATATTGCGTCGGTTATCCATCGGTTTTTAACACGTTTGCGGACCCCTGACCGATGGTAAAACATCTGGAACAATTTCAACATTAGCTTCATCTTCAAATCCAATTGTTTTGTGAAATAAGATAAAAAATTCTTGTTACCTCATAAGAATGCAATAGACGCATGTCACCACTGTAGACGCCGACCCGTCCCCCACGAGAGACCGCCACGTAACAGAACGAATCCTCACGCTCCACACAGACCAGCTTCACCAGCGTCTCCCGCTACAGACATATTTTATTGCAGGTATGTTCAACAATAAAACGAATAATCTTAAATTCATCCCTTAATATTGAAAAACAAAACCATCACGCCTGTTATCCCTGAAGCGGTAGGCAAACTATTACTCAGTTTAAAAAAAAATCTCAGTGGTAGCAAGGAGTCTGGATTTGTGCCCGGTATATGGCTATTGCAATATACCGGGCACGCTCACCCCCTATTACATGGGACTTATAACATAAATAGTGAAATATGGGTGTTATATTGTACAGTGGCTTAAGTGCCATCACTCGGCTAACGAGACAGCCATATCAGTCCCTAAGTGAATAAAGGGTTTCCGTTTCAAATTTAGGATTACTACAGTCTAATGGATAAGTCTACCTTGCAGTGGTCCAGCCTCTTGATATCCTGTTCACTGAGTGGCTTCCACACTTCAGCTCTGGTGCTCGTTTTCTTGGCTCCGACGGCTACCAGCCGACATATTAGTTGTCTCCACCATACCTTGCCACTGCTGAAGCTGTCCAGCAGTTGAAACAGCTTATGTGCATGTGTCGTGTATTTGTGGTGACCTGTGTTTGCCCAAAAATATGAATTTGTAAATTTTAACAGTAAATTGATAGCTAACTAGAAAGAGAGCTGATACCTGTAAATAGATAGACAGATTCATATTGTAGATTCATAGATTCATTTTTCGAAAACAAACTGTTATGCGTTGGCGGGTTTCTTACCAAATATTGATTCCAGTGAAGTAACAAATCCAGCTTCATCCAGCCACAGCGAGTCTTGTGGCGGGGGATCAGCCTCCGCGAACTCGATGCCCTCTTCAGCTGCTGCCGCTCTCATCACTGCCTCTACACGCCTGTTACATTCAAAGGAAGCATTAAAATTATTATATTTATTTGTAAAAACGGATTGTTAACATCTACGAAGATGAATCGATTAAAGAAACTGCACTTAAATTAGTTCATTCATTCACAGACGCTGACAGAGGTTAAATACTACTCACCTGTCGATATCCTGAGCTTTGGTCCTTTCTTTATTTTTCTTGAAGCATCGTCTCAATTTACTGAGTACTGCCGGAGTCATCTTATTCATTAGAGTACGCGCTAAGCATTCATCTTCATCATCGCTGAACGAATAAAGCCACAAATCCAATTATTCTATAATCTACCGGAACTTTATCAATTTAAAAAAATTACAATAGACACACGGGTAAACCTCTTTCTTGATAGATATCTAAATAAGCGTGAGTGCCTCAATGGCGTAAAATTTTGTGTCTACCCACGCATTTATTTTTTTTTTGTATGCAAACGTCAAAGTACTTCGCCATAATGTTTTACCAAAAATTATACGAGGTACTTAGTTTTATTAAGGGGGGGAAATCATCGAATAACTGCTCCCGTCTGGGTGAGGCCGGACGGAATGTCAGACTCTTACTGACTAAAAACCACCCCGTTCATACTCCTGCCCTTGGAGCCGGAGCCCCGGCAACACGTTAAGTTCTCCGCGGCTCCGTATCGGCATCAGCCCTATTGGAACCCATCCGTGGTGATCGGTTGGCTCTTTGAGGCGAGCGCGGAACGCAACGCGCCGCGCCGTACGCTCGGGTCTGTGTCTCGTCGGGCGGTGTTTAAAGCAACAAGTTATTGACAAACCTCTTCAAAATACGAACCCAGATAGACTCTCTTCCGAGGCACTCCTCACTGAATAACTTTTCTCTATTATCTCCGAACATTCTTCAAGCAACGATTTCTCGGATTTAATAGACATTCTGTTGTTTTACAAAACTTTAGCAAAAGAACAAAGAACGACGTACTTCTGTTTGAGATAGCATTTGTTTTGTCGATATTTTGGCGCTCACTACGTAACTGACAATTCGTAAGTTTATATATTCAGCGCCATCTGTCTTTTGAAACCTAAACTGATCAAAGAGCTATTGATGAATTGAAACGTTACACTCACCCCATTTGTTCGATTTCGTTGTTGTGCGTTTGACAAGGGTAACGTTTGAGTATTCTATTCTAAAGATAGATGGCGTTACCTGTTCAATTTAATGTTGTTATGAAAAACGGAAACTGGAAATAGTGGAAAATAAGACAAGACGTGTGGCAGAAAACGGACACCATTTGTATCCATTTCTAGTGGTGTATAATTTCAATCTGAAATTATGATGACGGCACATACATAATCTGTAGCGGTTTGAAATGAAACACAATAATGAACATTGTCTATTTTATTGTATGTATGTATAATAATACTTAGAACTAGTACTGTAACTCTAAAAGTAGGCTATACATACACGGAGCGAGCGAGTCATCGTAATCAATTAAAATATTCATTTGTTCTAGAAGTTATTAACCACTCAGTTCTTTACTTATAGAAAAATCGATACATAAATAAATTAATAAGTACGGCACATGACTTCTAGTATACAATGTATTGTGACGTCACCTCTACCACTGAAAAACCCAAGTAGGTACTTATTTGAAGCATTTAACAGAAGTTTAGTAAGCTTCACTTTGGTGTTCGAAAAAGAAAATATAAGTATCATACAAGTATCTTTCTTAAACCTAAGAGATTCAAAATTAAAGTAAAATGGCTCCGAGACATTTAAAAGAAATAAAACAAAAGCAATAATACTTACACACAAAACAACGGACGGAAAATACACAGATTAAAAATTAACACAAAGAAAATTACGACAGATAATAAAATGATTCGTCAAATCGGAGCCCAAAACAAATAGGAACTATCAACCACTTTCAACTAATACAAAAACGTGTTTAAAAAACAGTGGCCGTGAGTTCAATTTCGTTTATCTATATTGAATATACCTAGCTATACATTTACACACATAAAACATACTTTGGATCGAAATTCCGTATACAGGGTGTGGGAATAAGATTAATTTCCACTTTATTTTGATTCTTGTATAATAACGTTACACACTGAACTAATTTACCCTCTTTTGTCGTAAAACTATGTTTGTATACATTTTTGTTTAAGAGAAAAAACTCTAATGGCTTTTCTTTTCTGCCTGGGAACCTACAGACCGGGACAACATTTAAAATTACTATCACATTCCCTATTGCATTATGTAAAGTAATTTAGTTGCACTAGGTATGTGTCATCTGTAAACTCATCTACAGAAGGTCGGGCTCAGTCTTCTTATATTAAATGCTGGTAATACTGATTGATACATTCTTTGCGATGCAATAACAATCCACGACAAAGCCCGAATGAACCAAAATATTGCTGAGGGGGCGACATGGGTTCCGAAGTGAAAACTTTCATTACCGTCTTGAATTAAGTAAATATCATTTTTTCGATTAAGTTTTCGAAATAATAGCTGTTATGTTCTCAAGTGTCGGAACCCAAGACATAGCCCCATTCTCTTACGGTACACTATTCTAAAATTTTGATTTGGAATGTTTGGAATCCGTATCTAAACCTCGAATACGACAAACTTTCGTAAATACATTAACATTACTGCTATTTAACACTATTTAATACTTCATACTCGTTACTTAAATAATAAATATCTTAATATTAAACTATAATTTATTATTGTACGAATGCGTATACATGTATTTTCTCGAATACAGCTCACAATTTTATCGTAAGTAGTTATAATGTCTCTGCAAATTTGCAATAAATATCATCGCGACAGCGCTCCAAAATTTTCACATTTTCGAAGGAAATCGAGACTATTTTGTCCAGTGGCTTGCTTTAGTAAATCTTTAAAGCGCCATTCTTTAGCATGGAGTTCTACAATATTGTAGGTTCATGCCATTTAATCTCACAATTTGTTTAACACAGCCAATGCGGTTAAATGACAGGCTACATAAAAACGTGTAGGTACATTTGTAAGTAAATACTTTTGAAGTCAAACATGACTTTTGTCATTTGCATTATTGCATCGCCCACGAAAACTTATACCAAGTGCGAAAACAAAATGGGTAGCGTACATTTACAAAACTCATGCTTGACTCTCATTTCATTTCGTATACAGTGTATGCCAATTGGATTCATATAAACACATCAAAAAATTGATATCAATTTACGTATTGTAGAGTGTGGCACTGACTCACATGCACCACAAACTGCAATAAAATACTTATCTATTGAGTTATGCCCCACATAAGTAAATCTTTCAACAAACGTCCACAATAATTCCAAAAGTACACCATCGTGCGCACCTTTTCCAAGCAAAAAAATTAACTTTTCATACCATGGAATTAGCAAAACTAATGTCTTCAATAAGGGGTATACGTGTTACAAACCAGTCAACGATATCGACCAGGTGTGAACAACTAATTGGGAAGTAGTAACCGAACAAAGTATGCAAGCATCACTATAATACAAGGTCGATCTTCAATGGACTGAGCTGACCACTTAGTAGCGGTCGCGCGGTCAGAAGACGGGGTAATGCGGTCAGTAGACGGGGCTGTGTGCGTCGTAGTTGAGTTGCAAGTACGGCGGGATCGCGGCCGACAGCTCGGACGCGCGCCGTCGCAACGCTGCGATACTATGTCCACGCCACACTTCCTCCTCTGCGGGTTCGCCACCATTACCTGATGCAAATAATAATAATAATAAATAATAAAACTTTATTCATAATAACAAAAATGCAAAATTCGAAAATATATCTAAATTACGTACAATTGACCTCAAATAGTTAGATGCCTGCACTAGGACAATCCTGTATCGCAGGCGAGAGGAGTTCTAAATATAATATTTACAATAGCACATCTTATTTCTATAAACACAAATATTTATCAGTATGCAATAGAAAAAAAAATATATAATGATTATTTTAATATACATACATTCAAACATACTTACATACAAAACATAACCTCATACCCTATATTCTCAGAAAAGATAGGCTGAGGTCCATAACTAAT